ATTGGCGGCTACGTCGCGGACAGGTACGGTCGTCGAGCTACGATTTTCTCCGCCGGCGTCCTGTTCTGCATCGGGACGACGTGGGTTTGTCTAAACCCCGCACAGGACCACACGCTCATGTACATTGCGTGTATCGTACAGGGCTTCGGCGTCGGCAACTCATCGTTCTCACTCCCACTGTTCGGATCTGAGATGGCCCCGAAGGAGCTGCGCGCGCGTCTGTCCGGTTTGATGGTGCTGCCCGTCACATTCGGTCAGTGGCTCGCTAACCTTATCAACATCCTCGTCATGGACGACAGCAACGGCTGGCGTATTAGTAACGCCGTATCGATGATTCCTCCGGTGATCGTCATGTGCGGCATCTTCTGCGTGCCCGAGAGTCCTCGTTGGACGTATCAGCAGAAGGGCAGGGAAGAGGCTGAGGCGGTTCTTAAGCGGCTACGACAGACGGACGACGTACGCCATGAGCTCGAAGCGATCGGTGACCAGATTAACCAAGAAGAGACTGGGAACAAAGACATGGCTGGACTGTGGGAACCCACGGTGCGACGACGTGTGTTCATCGCCATGGCGCTACAGCTCGGCCAACAGGTGACTGGTATCAACCCCATTATGACGTACGGGTCGCTTATTTTTCAAGGACATCACAGGTGCCGGTCTCTACGCTTCGCTCCTTCTAAGCGGCGTCAACTGCTTGAGTACCACACCTGGTTTGATTTGGTTGGATAAGTACGGACGCCGCTATATGGCCATGATCGGCGCTGTAGGCATGGTGATCGGCCACCTGTTCGCTGCTATTCTGTTCACGGCGATCTGCGACGGCAACGTCGACGACTCGGGCTGCCCTTCAGTCGGCGGATGGTTTATTTGATTTGGTACAGCTTTCTTCGTCTTCAGCTATTCCGTGTCTTGGGGCGCTCTACCTTGGATCTACTGCTCGGAGATTTTCCCACTCAACGTACGTGCGTCTGCTGTGTCTGTGGCTACTGCAGCCAACTGATCCGGTGGTGCCCGCCATGACGGAAGTCGTCAAGTTCTTCCCGTACCTGAACATTCAGCGGTGTATTCTTCATGTTCGCTGGACTCGCACTACTATGCGGCCTGTTCATCTACTTCTACTGCCCAGAGACCAAGGGCATTCGACTTGAGGACATCGAGACACTCTTCAGCCGCAGTTACCACACGGCTACGTCACCGTCCTACGGCGCGGTCAAGACCCCTGTGGCTGCTACCGACAAGAGCCCAGTCTAAGATTTTGAAAACCTGTCAAGCAATTTACTATAATACAACTGTAGTTTGTCGAATTTGTCGAAAGCTGTGATGCGCAAACAACTACTATTGTAATATTAAACCCTGTGGATAACGTGAAGCCGATCGAATCAAATCTCACAGTTCCTGTGGCCGTACGTAGGAGTTTTGAGGTCATTACGTCGCCGCAACGATTCTCCGCTCAGAGTAAAGGAGTGACGTGCAGCTACGATGACATGATCTCTGCTTCCGAGACGACTACAACTATGTCTCCGTTACTTAAACCGAATGAGTTTATTGTCACGACGTGGCTTTTTGTTAACAGCCAGTCGGGTACACGAACGGATAATGATCTTTTTGACGTGTCTGATACCCCGCAAGACCGTCAATTGATATTTATTCGAGGTGCTGTACGTGAGATATCGCTGTACTTACTACTCCTACCTGAAAGCTCTGGTAATTGGCAACTAGAAGTGGGCATTCTCATGGATATAGACCGAGAAGGAGACGCTGGAGAGCTGCCTATTAAGGGCCGAATATGGGAGAGAATGATGTCGAAACAAGGCGTAGCAAGCGGGAATTGGGTCCACGTGGCGATAGTGTTAGAAGCCATGAAAATACGCCTCTATTTGAACGGTATTCTCGACTGTCAACGCTCGTTAGTAGCGCAAAGTACTGCTATATGGGCGGCTGGGAACGTGGATCTTCCGCTTCATTTCGGAAGATTCCCAATGACGCAAACTACGTCCTCCGTCTCTTCGGCTATTGGCTTTCTGTCACGCTCACTTGGGATCATGAAAGGAGTTCACTGGGACTCCGGAATGAATATTCCGGATCACACATCAGGCGCGTTCCGGTGTTTCGACGGCTGGTTGAGCCACTTCCGCTTCCACAATCGCTCGTTGTCTCCCATCCACGTTCGCATCGTTTACGACGAGAAGAAAACTCCTTCTGGACTTTGTGAACGGGACGATGACCACTCGAAACTCGTGGAGTTGCACGCTTTACTCATCCTACTCAGCACTTCATCTGGAGGGAATAATTAAAAATAAAAATAAGAATAAAATTTTTAATTTTTTTTTGCATAATCTTATTAAATTTATTTTAAAATTTCTTTGAAAATTTCTATTTAATTTATTAAAGTATTATAAATCTAAAGTTTAAATTTCCCTTTTGGTTGAAAAGTATTTTAAATAAAATTTTTAGTTTTTATAACCTTGAATTTGAGTGAATGTCAGATATTATAAAATTTTTTTGGATTA